AAAAAAGCCCTGGGTGGTGGTGCACATTTAATCCCTGCACTCAGGATCAAAGGCAAACACTCAGACCCATAAAATAAGAATAAATCTTTTTTACAGAAATTATTTTTTATGCGTATCAATGTTAATGCTTGCATGCACGCAAGTGCACCCACGTCGTGCAATACCCACGGAGGTCATCAGAAGAGGGTTTTCTCTGGAACTGGAGTTACAAACGGTTGTTAGTTGCCATGTAGGTACTGGGATTGGAACCCGGGTTTTCTGCAAGAGTAGCCAATGCTCTTAACCACTGAGCCAGCTCTCCAGTCTCGAATAAACTTAATCATTAAAAATAAAAAACAGGGACCAAGGATGACCAAGGTACTTACATGGGGGTCTGTGCGGGCAGAACCGAGGGCATGAAGATCCAGGAGGGCCTGGTTCAGGTTCTTCTCCAGGGCCAAGGCAGCTTCCATGGCCTCCTGGGTTTTACCCCACTCATCCTGAGCTGGTTTCTGCACATCCTGGAAGAGCGCGCGGCTGCCACGCTGGTTCTGCAACTTGAGCAGCCACTCCATGCCCTAGTGCTTCTCCTCGGCCAACTCGTGGAAGAAGTGGCCCACACCCTCCAGAGTCATGTCATCCCAGTCGAAATAGTAGCCCAGGGAGAGGTAGGTGTAGGAGGCCACCAGGTGCAGGTTGACCAGGCAGTTGACTGCAGCCTCCACCTCGGTGGAATAATTCTGACGGATCTGAGAGGTCATCCTGATGGGCAGTGTGGAGCTAACCGCAAGGAGACGGTGTTGGCTGGAGAGGTGGTCCCGGACGCGGTGACTGGAGGGACTGGAATGTGGTTGGAAATTTACGACAAATGGATTGTGGCCACCCATGACATTGGGACTGCCACGTACTAGGCCTCCTCCCTTGCCCAAGCCTTTGTAGTTGCAACCCAACCCAACTCAAAATGCTTTAAATGTGGAGAAACTGGACACTGGAAAGAAAATTGCCCCCAAAATGGCTCGGCTGCCACTCGACCCCCTAAAACCCTCTGTCCTCGCTGTAAAAGGGGCTTTCACTGGAAAAGAGATTGTAAATCTAAATATGACAGAGATGGCAAACCTTTGCCACCTTTAAACTCCTTCCGGGGCAACCCTCAGCCCCACTAACTAGAGGAAAGCCACAAACATTATAGGTAACTGGTATTACAGAAAATACCCATCCAAAATTAACCATAGAAATAGACAATAAACCTTTCAAATGCCTACTTGACACCAGGGCTGATAAATCATCTTAAGGTGATCTGAGGTTCCCCCACACTGGGAATTAATGCCAGGACCTCAATTAATGGGAGTAGGGGGGCCCTCTCCATCATTCATCCCTAAAAACTTCTATAAATGGGAGGATCCTGATGGAGAGGTTGGCACAATAAGACCCCTGATTGCAGATATAGCCACAAATCTCATAGGATGAGATATCCTGGAAGACCTCAATGTAGTTCTTGCCAGTGGGTCTCAAAAAATTTGCCTTAAAATAAATGATCATATGAGGTTCCTAAAACAAAAGAACCCCCAATTCTAAAGGCCACTGTTGATTACCAGACTCCCTGCCTTGACTGGATCACAAAGGAACCAGTCTGGGTGAAACAGTGGCCATTACCCAGGGAGAAATTGCTAATTTTACAAACAACTTGTAGAACAACAGTTACAGCTGGGTCACATTAGGCCCTCCAGGAGCCCATGGAACACCCCAGTCTTTGTAATAAAGAAAAAGACAGGGGCATGGCGACTGCTACAAGACCTCAGAGTCATAAAAAAAACCATGAAAGTATGGGAATCACCCCAAAGAGGCCTGCCCATGGTCTCTGCCATCCCCCTTAATACTCCCCTGTTAGTCCTAGATATAAAAGACTGCTTTTTCTCCATCCGTTTACACAATAATGATTGCCAACCTTTTGCCTTATCAGTTCCAAAAATTAACAATTCTGGGCCAGCTGATCCATATGAATGTCGAGCTCTGCCACATGGTATGGCAAATAGCCCTACAATATGCACTAGCACCCCTTTTTAAAAAAAGGCCTACACGTTTATCATTACATGGATGACCTCTTGGTCTGGCAAGATGAGGATTCCTCTCTAAAAGACCTAAAAGATACTATGATAAACATCCTAGAGACAAAAGGTTCTATGATAGCCACAAATAAAATACAATCAGTTCCCCCCATTACCTTCCTGGG